TTCTGAAGAATTTTAACAGTTTTCTTGTATCTACGAACGCCAGAATGCATAAAATTGACCTAAACGTCTCCTTTTCCTATTCTGAGTCGATTCTGCATGCTTTAAGTGTGTTTGGTGGCTCAGAACCATCAAAAAACGTTGAAACATAGTTCAAATTCAATAAAAATCGACAAAAATACAGTTTCTAGCTAAAATTTGATGGTTTCGTTGCACTTTCCGAGCCCGTAGGGTATCTGAGTGGCTTAAAAGTACAAGAAAACACTTCAAAAGTGACGTTTCTGAAGAATTTTAACAGTTTTCTTGTATCTACGAACGCCAGAATGCATAAAATTGACCTAAACGTCTCCTTTTCCTATTCTGAGTCGATTCTGCATGCTTTAAGTATGTTTGGTGGCTCAGAACCATCAAAAAACGTTGAAATATAGTTCAAATTCAATAAAAATCGACAAAAATACAGTTTCTAGCTAAAATTTGATGGTTTCGTTGCACTTTCCGAGCCCGTAGGGTATCTGAGTGGCTTAAAATTACAAGAAAACACTTCAAAAGTGACGTTTCTGAAGAATTGTAACAGTTTTCTTGTATCTACGAACGCCAGAATGCATAAAATTGACCTAAACGTCTCCTTTTCCTATTCTGAGTCGATTCTGCATGCTTTAAGTGTGTTTGGTGGCTCAGAACCATCAAAAAACGTTGAAATATAGTTCAAATTCAATAAAAATCGACAAAAATACAGTTTCTAGCTAAAATTTGATGGTTTCGTTGCACTTTCCGAGCCCGTAGGGTATCTGAGTGGCTTAAAAGTACAAGAAAACACTTCAAAAGTGACGTTTCTGAAGAATTTTAACAGTTTTCTTGTATCTACGAACGCCAGAATGCATAAAATTGACCTAAACGTCTCCTTTTCCTATTCTGAGTCGATTCTGCATGCTTTAAGTGTGTTTGGTGGCTCAGAACCATCAAAAAACGTTGAAATATAGTTCAAATTCAATAAAAATCGACAAAAATACAGTTTCTAGCTAAAATTTGATGGTTTCGTTGCACTTTCCGAGCCCGTAGGGTATCTGAGTGGCTTAAAAGTACAAGAAAACACTTCAAAAGTGACGTTTCTGAAGAATTTTAACAGTTTTCTTGTATCTACGAACGCCAGAATGCATAAAATTGACCTAAACGTCTCCTTTTCCTATTCTGAGTCGATTCTGCATGCTTTAAGTGTGTTTGGTGGCTCAGAACCATCAAAAAACGTTGAAATATAGTTCAAATTCAATAAAAATCGACAAAAATACAGTTTCTAGCTAAAATTTGATGGTTTCGTTGCACTTTCCGAGCCCGTAGGGTATCTGAGTGGCTTAAAAGTACAAGAAAACACTTCAAAAGTGACGTTTCTGAAGAATTTTAACAGTTTTCTTGTATCTACGAACGCCAGAATGCATAAAATTGACCTAAACGTCTCCTTTTCCTATTCTGAGTCGATTCTGCATGCTTTAAGTGTGTTTGGTGGCTCAGAACCATCAAAAAACGTTGAAATATAGTTCAAATTCAATAAAAATCGACAAAAATACAGTTTCTAGCTAAAATTTGATGGTTTCGTTGCACTTTCCGAGCCCGTGGGGTATCTGAGTGGCTTAAAAGTACAAGAAAACACTTCAAAAGTGACGTTTCTGAAGAATTTTAACAGTTTTCTTGTATCTACGAACGCCAGAATGCATAAAATTGACCTAAACGTCTCCTTTTCCTATTCTGAGTCGATTCTGCATGCTTTAAGTGTGTTTGGTGGCTCAGAACCATCAAAAAACGTTGAAATATAGTTCAAATTCAATAAAAATCGACAAAAATACAGTTTCTAGCTAAAATTTGATGGTTTCGTTGCACTTTCCGAGCCCGTAGGGTATCTGAGTGGCTTAAAAGTACAAGAAAACACTTCAAAAGTGACGTTTCTGAAGAATTTTAACAGTTTTCTTGTATCTACGAACGCCAGAATGCATAAAATTGACCTAAACGTCTCCTTTTCCTATTCTGAGTCGATTCTGCATGCTTTAAGTGTGTTTGGTGGCTCAGAACCATCAAAAAACGTTGAAATATAGTTCAAATTCAATAAAAATCGACAAAAATACAGTTTCTAGCTAAAATTTGATGGTTTCGTTGCACTTTCCGAGCCCGTAGGGTATCTGAGTGGCTTAAAAGTACAAGAAAACACTTCAAAAGTGACGTTTCTGAAGAATTTTAACAGTTTTCTTGTATCTACGAACGCCAGAATGCATAAAATTGACCTAAACGTCTCCTTTTCCTATTCTGAGTCGATTCTGCATGCTTTAAGTGTGTTTGGTGGCTCAGAACCATCAAAAAACGTTGAAATATAGTTCAAATTCAATAAAAATCGACAAAAATACAGTTTCTAGCTAAAATTTGATGGTTTCGTTGCACTTTCCGAGCCCGTAGGGTATCTGAGTGGCTTAAAAGTACAAGAAAACACTTCAAAGGTGACGTTTCTGAAGAATTTTAACAGTTTTCTTGTATCTACGAACGCCAGAATGCATAAAATTGACCTAAACGTCTCCTTTTCCTATTCTGAGTCGATTCTGCATGCTTTAAGTGTGTTTGGTGGCTCAGAACCATCAAAAAACGTTGAAATATAGTTCAAATTCAATAAAAATCGACAAAAATACAGTTTCTAGCTAAAATTTGATGGTTTCGTTGCACTTTCCGAGCCCGTAGGGTATCTGAGTGGCTTAAAAGTACAAGAAAACACTTCAAAAGTGACGTTTCTGAAGAATTTTAACAGTTTTCTTGTATCTACGAACGCCAGAATGCATAAAATTGACCTAAACGTCTCCTTTTCCTATTCTGAGTCGATTCTGCATGCTTTAAGTGTGTTTGGTGGCTCATTACCATCAAAAAACGTTGAAATATAGTTCAAATTCAATAAAAATCGACAAAAATACAGTTTCTAGCTAAAATTTGATGGTTTCGTTGCACTTTCCGAGCCCGTAGGGTATCTGAGTGGCTTAAAAGTACAAGAAAACACTTCAAAAGTGACGTTTCTGAAGAACTTTAACAGTTTTCTTGTATCTACGAACGCCAGAATGCATAAAATTGACCTAAACGTCTCCTTTTCCTATTCTGAGTCGATTCTGCATGCTTTAAGTGTGTTTGGTGGCTCAGAACCATCAAAAAACGTTGAAATATAGTTCAAATTCAATAAAAATCGACAAAAATACAGTTTCTAGCTAAAATTTGATGGTTTCGTTGCACTTTCCGAGCCCGTAGGGTATCTGAGTGGCTTAAAAGTACAAGAAAACACTTCAAAAGTGACGTTTCTGAAGAATTTTAACAGTTTTCTTGTATCTACGAAAACCAGAATGCATAAAATTGACCTAAACGTCTCGTTTTCCTATTCTGAGTCGATTCTGCATGCTTTAAGTGTGTTTGGTGGCTCAGAACCATCAAAAAACGTTGAAATATAGTTCAAATTCAATAAAAATCGACAAAAATACAGTTTCTAGCTAAAATTTGATGGTTTCGTTGCACTTTCCGAGCCCGTAGGGTATCTGAGTGGCTTAAAAGTACAAGAAAACACTTCAAAAGTCGCAACTGATGAGATCCCGCTCATTCATATAAAAAATACTTTGCAGGGAAACTCTGAGAGTTTTAATTTTAAAAAATCTGAATCTACACTAATAACCATTAATGAAAGCTCGTTACTAAACTATAACAGACTTCTTAGCACATCTATAAGTAAACTTGGCCAAATATCGGAAACACTAAATGTAGACGATCAAATTATCCATTCAAGTCTAAAACAAAAATCTTTTAATTTGGGATCTGATGTAAATTTAGCACTTTACTATCAAAACGTGCGAGGTATGAATTCAAAATTGTCTAATATTTTGGTAAATTCCTTGGAGCTATTAGAATTTGATTTACTTGTCTTAACTGAAACCTGGCTTAATCCAAACGTTAGCAATGGTGAATTCTTAGACTTGAACACTTTCGATGTTATTCGGAAAGATCGGGACTTCTCTGCAACCTCAAGTAAGCGAGGTGGTGGTATATTAATTGCATTTAAAAAACATTTACAGGTATCGATTATTGCGCTTGAACTATTTAGTCAAAACTTTAATGATTTGAAACATATAGATATCTTAGCTATCAAGCTTAGAGTGGGATATCAGTATATCCATATTATCGTATTATACATACCACCTTCAACGACACTCAATGATTACACAGTTTTATTTGAGTCTCTGTTATTAATTAATATTTTGTATGATTCGAAAATCATAATTCTAGGAGATTTTAATATACCCGAATTCTATAATTGTGCAACAGGTATAACAAATCCATCAAATTTATTCACCACCTGTAAAGACTTTTCAAATTTTCTTGGTTTAACACAAAATAATGGCATAAGGAACAGTAATGGTCGCCTTTTAGATTTGGTTTTTTCCAATATTAAAATCCAGATTACTCACTCATCAGACTTATTGACTTCTGAAGATCGTCATCACCCAGCACTAAATATTACTATCGATATCCGCAGGAAGCAAATACCTTGTTTGCTGGCTAAAAGTAATAATGAATTTAATTTTAGGAAAGCAAACTTTCTTCATTTGTATGAAAATATGTGTTCTGCTGACTTTTCTCATATATATTGTGTATCTGAAGTTAACAATGCTGTGCGGTCTTTATATGACACTTTGTATTGCATTTTCAATTCCTGGGTACCACTAAAAAAATCGCAGCGTGGATGCTATCCGAAATGGTTTGACAGTGACATAATATACATTCTACGTGAAAAACATAAGGCCTGGACTCGATATAAAAGAAATCAGAGTAATGACAATTATAGCGCTTTTAAATCATTGAGGAGTAGAACAAAGATATTATTGAAAAATGCTTACAGTGTGTACTTAAAAAAAAATACTTCAGAGATTAGAACGGATCCAAAGAAATTCTGGGCCTTTATAAAAAACAAAAAAATGCAGTCGGGTATTCCTTCTACTATGTATTATGAAAATGTTGAGCTATCTTCTCCACAGGACATTGTCAATGGATTTTCGAAACATTTCAGACAATCGCTGTCTGTAAAGTCAAGTCAGTCAAATTCATTTGAATTTATTCTGGACAATATTAACACCTTTGACATTAAACAAATAACTGAAAGTGAGGTATATAATGCGTTAAGACAACTGAAGCCTACAGTGACAGCAGGTCCGGATGCTGTTCCTTCTTTTCTGGTTAAGGATTGTGCTGCTATTTTGACCAAGCCATTGTCTGTGATCTACAATTTAATAATAAAGCAGTCAATATTTCCGACTATCTGGAAGAATCACGAATTGTCCCAATTCATAAATCAGGCAGGAGACAGGAAATCACTAACTATCGACCCATTACATTGATAAATAATTTTGCCAAGGTTTTTGAGATTGTCTTGCATTCCCGTATGTACTCACATGTTGCTAACTACCTATCTCCGCGGCAGCACGGTTTTGTTAAGGGCAGATCGACAGTTACAAATTTGTTCTTAAAAACACAGTTTCTAGCAGATCGTCTTGATAGGGGAGGACAGGTCGACTGCGTTTATGTCGATTTTTCAAAGGCGTTCGACCGTATTAGTCATGAGTTGTTGCTGCATAAGATGATGAGTTTTGGTTTTTCCAAATCACTAATTCTTCTTTTCGATTCATATCTCTCAGATAGGTACCAATATGTATTTTACAACGGTCATTCATCTGACAGGTTTATTCAAATATCTGGTGTTCCACAGGGTTCGGTTTTGGGTCCTTTGTTTTTTAATATATATGTTAACGACATAGTAAAACAGGTCAATATAGAATGCCTATTATATGCGGATGACCTGAAGATATTTCTTGAAATTAAATCTCCTGACGATTGCCATGTTCTTCAGCGGAATTTAGATTTAATAAATGAGTGGTCCATCACCAACCAAATGCCGTTGAGCAAGGATAAATGTTGTGTTAAAACGTACTCCAGAAAGTTATCCCTAATTAGTTTCAATTATAGTTTGCAAGGAGTTGATTTAAAACGACCTGAATTCATTCGAGATCTTGGAGTTACATTTGACTCAAAACTTAGTTTTGTTGAACACATCAGGATAATAGAGGACTCAGCTAACAAATGTCTGGGATTTGTCATCCGCAACACCAAAGAATTTCAAGAAGTTCACATTGTGAAATTGTTGTATTTTGCTTATGTCCGCTCCCGACTTGAGTACTGTTCTGTGGTTTGGAGTCCTATTTATCAGGCTCATATCAGCACACTAGAGAGAATTCAGCGCCGTGCTTTAAAATATATGCTGTATAAAATTGACGGCTTATATCCTCTTAGAGGAGTGCCGAATCAAACTCTGTATGAACGTCTCAATGTCAAGAGCTTATTGTCTAGAAGAAGCAATGCCTACATTATAATGTTGCATAATATAATTAGTTACACAATTAAATGTGAAGATTTGATTGCTATGATTGGACTAAGAACACCTACTATGAATGTAAGAAATTACTTCTTATTTGAGCAAAAATTTCCTAGATCTAACGTGATGAAAGCATCCCCGTTTTATCAAATGCTAGAAAGCTATAAAAAATCTCAATGTAACATTGATATATTTAATTGCAAACTGAGAGAGCTAAAAACGGAAATTAAGAAATAAAAGAAATTTGCGAAATAACTGATCCGTACTAATTGTTGTATGTTGTTCTAGAATATTTTTGGTATGATTCATCTTTTTATTTAATCTCTTTTTTCTAGATATATTCCCCTTCAAATAATTTCAATTTCTTCAATTTTTTCTTTTTTCAAATTTTTTATTTTTTTTTCTAATTTTTTATTTTTTTTATTTTTTTTTCTCTCGCCTCTTCGTTATTGGGCACTCAGCCTGTTAAGAGGCGTAATCATAATAATAATAATAATAATAATAATAATAATAAGAAAACACTTCAAAAGTGACGTTTCTGAAGAATTTTAACAGTTTTCTTGTATCTACGAACGCCAGAATGCATAAAATTGACCTAAACGTCTCCTTTTCCTATTCTGAGTCGATTCTGCATGCTTTAAGTGTGTTTGGTGGCTCAGAACCATCAAAAAACGTTGAAATATAGTTCAGATTCAATAAAAATCGACAAAAATACAGTTTCTAGCTAAAATTTTATGGTTTCGTTGCACTTTCCGAGCCCGTAGGGTATCTGAGTGGCTTAAAAGTACAAGAAAACACTTCAAAAGTGACGTTTCTGAAGAATTTTTACAGTTTTCTTGTATCTACGAACGCCAGAATGCATAAAATTGACCTAAACGTCTCCTTTTCCTATTCTGAGTCGATTCTGCATGCTTTAAGTGTGTTTGGTGGCTCAGAACCATCAAAAAACGTTGAAATATAGTTCAAATTCAATAAAAATCGACAAAAATACAGTTTCTAGCTAAAATTTGATGGTTTCGTTGCACTTTCCGAGCCCGTAGGGTTTCTGAGTGGCTTAAAAGTACAAGAAAACACTTCAAAAGTGACGTTTCTGAAGAATTTTAACAGTTTTCTTGTATCTACGAACGCCAGAATGCATAAAATTGACCTAAACGTCTCCTTTTCCTATTCTGAGTCGATTCTGCATGCTTTAAGTGTGTTTGGTGGCTCAGAACCATCAAAAAACGTTGAAATATAGTTCAAATTCAATAAAAATCGACAAAAATACAGTTTCTAGCTAAAATTTGATGGTTTCGTTGCACTTTCCGAGCCCGTAGGGTATCTGAGTGGCTTAAAAGTACAAGAAAACACTTCAAAAGTGACGTTTCTGAAGAATTTTAACAGTTTTCTTGTATCTACGAACGCCAGAATGCATAAAATTGACCTAAACGTCTCCTTTTCCTATTCTGAGTCGATTCTGCATGCTTTAAGTGTGTTTGGTGGCTCAGAACCATCAAAAAACATTGAAATATAGTTCAAATTCAATAAAAATCGACAAAAATACAGTTTCTAGCTAAAATTTGATGGTTTCGTTGCACTTTCCGAGCCCGTAGGGTATCTGAGTGGCTTAAAAGTACAAGAAAACACTTCAAAAGTGACGATTCTGAAGAATTTTAACAATTTTCTTGTATCTACGAACGCCAGAATGCATAAAATTGACCTAAACGTCTCCTTTTCCTATTCTGAGACGATTCTGCATGCTTTAAGTGTGTTTGGCGGCTCAGAACCATCAAAAAACTTTGAAATATAGTTCAAATTCAATAAAAATCGACAAAAACACAGTTTCTAGCTAAAATTTGATGGTTTCGTTGCACTTTCCGAGCCCGTTGAGTATCTGAGTGGCTTAAAAGTACAAGAAAACACTTCAAAAGTGACGTTTCTGAAGAATTTTAAAAATTTTCTTGTATCTACGAACGCCAGAATGCATAAAATTGACCTAAACGTCTCCTTTTCCTATTCTGAGACGATTCTGCATGCTTTAAGTGTGTTTGGTGGCTCAGAACCATCAAAAAACGTTGAAATATAGTTCAGATTCAATAAAAATCGACAAAAATACAGTTTCTAGCTAAAATTTTATGGTTTCGTTGCACTTTCCGAGCCCATAGGATATCTGAGTGGCTTAAAAGCACAAGAAAACACTTCAAAAGCGACGTTTCTGAAGAATTTTAACAATTTTCTTGTACCTATGAACGCCAGAATGCATAAAATTGACCTAAACGTCTCCTTTTCCTATTCTGAGACGATTCTGCATGCTTTAAGTGTGTTTGGTGGTTCAGAACCATCAAAAAACGTTGAAATACAGTTGAAATTCAATAAAAATCGACAAAAATACAGTTTCTAGCTAAAATTTGATGGTTTCGTTGCACTTTCCGAGCCCGTAGGGTATCTGAGTGGCTTAAAAGTACAAGAAAATACTTCAAAAGTGACGTTTCTGCAGAATTTTCACAATCTTCTTGTATCTACGAACGCCAGAATGCATAAAATAGACCTAAACGTCTCCTTTTCCTATTCTGAGACGATTCTGCATGTTTTAAGTGTGTTTGGTGGCTCAGAATCATCAAAAAACGTTGAAATATAGTTCAAATTCAATAAAAATCGACAAAAATACAGTTTCTAGCTAAAATTTGATGGTTTCGTTGCACTTTCCGAGCCCGTTGGGTATCTGAGTGGCTTAAAAGTACAACGAAAACACTTCAAAAGTGACGTTTCTGAAGAATTTTAACAATTTTCTTGTATCTACGAAAGCCAGAATGCATAAAATCGACCCAAACGTCTCCTTTTCCTATTCTGAGATGATTCTGCATGTTTTAAGTGTGTTTGGTGGCTCAGAATCATCAAAAAACTTTGAAACATAGTTCAAATTTAATAAAAATCGACAAAAATACAGTTTTTAGCCAAAATTTGATGGTTTCGTTGCACTTTCCGAGCCCGTAGGGTATCTGAGTTTCTTAAAAGTACAAGAAAATACATCAAAAGTGACGTTTCTGCAGAATTTTCACAATTTTCTTGTGTCTACGAACGCCAGAATGCATAAAATTGACCTAAACCTCTCCTTTTCCTACTCTGAGACGATTCTGCATGCTTTAAGTGTGTTTGGTGGCTCAGAACCATCAAAAAACGTTGAAATATAGTTCAAATTCAATAAAAATCGACAAAAATACAGTTTCTAGCCAAAATTTGATGGTTTCGTTGCACTTTCCGAGCCCGTAGTGTATCTGAGTGGCTAAAAAGTACAAGAAAACACTTCAAAAGTGACGTTTCTGAAAAATTTTAACAATTTTCTTGTATCTACGAACGCCAGAATGCATAAAATTGACCTAAACGTCTCCTTTTCCTATTCTGAGACGATTCTGTATGCTTTAAGTGTGTTTGGTGGCTCAGAACCATCAAAAAACTTTGAAATACAGTTCAAATTCAATAAAAATCGACAAAAATACAGTTTCGAGCTAAAATTTGTAGGTTTCGTTGCACTTTCCGAGCCCGTAGGGTATCTGAGTGGCTTAAAAGTACAAGAAAACACTTCAAAAGTGACGTTTCTGAAGAATTTTTACAGTTTTCTTGTATCTACGAAAGCCAGAATGCATAAAATTGACCTAAACTTCTCCTTTTCCTATTCTGATACGATTCTGCATGCTTTAAGTGGGTTTGGTAGGTCAGAACCATCAAAAAACGTTGAAATATTGTTCAAATTCAATAAAAATCGACAAAAATACAGTTTCTACCTAAAATTTGATGGTTTCGTTGCACTTTCCGAGCCCGTAGGGTATCTGAGTGGCTTAAAAGTACAAGAAAACACTTCAAAAGTGACGTTTCTGAAGAATTTTAACAATTTTCTTTTATCAACGAACGCCAGAATGCATAAAATTGACCTAAACGTCTCCTTTTCCTATTCTGAGACGATTCTGCATGCTTTAAATGTGTTTGGTGGCTCAGAACCATCAAAAAACTTTGAAATATAGTTCAAATTCAATAAAAATCGACAAAAATACAGTTTCTAGCTAAAATTTGATGGTTTCGTTGCACTTTCCGAGCCCGTAGGGTATCTGAGTGGCTTAAAAGTACAAGAAAACACTTCAAAAGTGACGATTCTGAAGAATTTTAACAATTTTCTTGTATCTACGAACGCCAGAATGCATAAAATTGACCTAAACGTCTCCTTTTCCTATTCTGAGACGATTCTGCATGCTTTAAGTGTGTTTGGTGGCTCAGAACCATCAAAAAACTTTGAAATATAGTTCAAATTCAATAAAAATCGACAAAAACACAGTTTCTAGCTAAAATTTGATGGTTTCGTTGCACTTTCCGAGCCCGTTGAGTATCTGAGTGGCTTAAAAGTACAAGAAAACACTTCAAAAGTGACGTTTCTGAAGAATTTTAAAAATTTTCTTGCATCTACGAACGCCAGAATGCATAAAATTGACCTAAACGTCTCCTTTTCCTATTCTGAGACGATTCTGCATGCTTTAAGTGTGTTTGGTGGCTCAGAACCATCAAAAAACGTTGAAATATAGTTCAGATTCAATAAAAATCGACAAAAATACAGTTTCTAGCTAAAATTTGATGGTTTCGTTGCACTTTCCGAGCCCGTAGGATATCTGAGTGGCTTAAAAGTACAAGAAAACACTTCAAAAGTGACGTTTCTGAAGAATTTTAACAATTTTCTTGTATCTACGAACGCCAGAATGCTTAAAATTGACCTAAACGTCTCCTTTTCCTATTCTGAGACGATTCTGCATGCTTTAAGTGTGTTTGGTGGCTCAGAACCATCAAAAAACTTTGAAAAATAGTTCAAATTCAATAAAAATCGACAAAAATACAGTTTCTAGCTAAAATTTCATGGTTTCTTTTCACTTTCCTAGCCCGTTGGGTATCTGAGTGGCTTAAAAGTACAAGAAAACACTTCAAAAGTGACGTTTCTGAAGAATTTTAACAATTTTCTTGTATCTACGAACGCCAGAATGCATAAAATTGACCTAAACGTCTACTTTTCCTATTCTGAGACGATTCTGCATGCTTTAAATGTATTTGGTGGCTCAGAACCATCAAAAAACGTTGAAATATAGTTCAAATTCAATAAAAATCGACAAAAATACAGTTTCTAGCTAAAATTTGATGGTTTCGTTGCACTTTCCGAGCCCGTAGGGTATCTGAGTGGCTTAAAAGTACAAGAAAACACTTCAAAAGTGACGTTTCTGAAG